GGGGTTGAAATGGGGCCACGGTATTTTTCTGTGTTTGGCTGGAGTGGAGAGAATATTGTTGAATTGCTTTTTGTCTTCCCAGGTTCCCCCCTGCGGTTTTATGATTAGAGAAAGAAGGCGTTTCTTGAGAATCCTTTTCATTTGAACCTATTGCCAGGTTGCCAGGTTGTTGGTTTCTTTAGCTCCATGCCCAGGATAAGTTAAGTAGGGGGAAAAAATTCAGGGTCCAGGGAGCTCACTGCTCTATCATTCTTTGAGTCCTGAGGTTCTTAGCTTATCTACCTTCTTCATTCTACCTTTCAGATTCTTTAACAAAAGTTTTTTTAATCTTCACCCAAAGATATATGTATTGATTTGAGACACACACACACACACACACACACACACACACACACACACTCTAAGAGAGAAAGAGAGAGAGAGAGAAATGGTGAGAGAGAGAGAGAGAGAGAGAGAGAGAGAGAGAGAGAGAGAGAAACAGTGTTTGGTTGCCTGTCACAGGTGCCCCAGCTGGGTACCGAACCTGTAACCCAGGCATGTACCCTGACTGGAATCAAACCTGAGACTTTTTGGTGTACCCATTGATGCTCCAACCAACTGAATCATACCAGCCATGGCTCAGAATCTTTTTTTTTTTAATCCTTACTCGAGGACATTTCTGCATTTATCTTCAGATAGAGCAGGAGGGAGAGAGGAAGGAAGAGAGAGAGAGAAACATTGATGTGAGAGAAACGTATTGATTGGTTGCCACCCACACGACCCCAACCGGGGCCGGACACAAACAGCAACCAAGGTGTGTGCCCTTAGTGGGAACCAAACCTGGGACTCTCTGGTCCGTGGGCCGATGCTCTAACTGCTTAGCCAAGCCGACCAGGATGCAGAATCTTTTTATTTTTGTTTTATTTTTAATGTACAGGGTTCTATTTTTATTTTTTTTAGAGGTATTTAGTTTGGGTAAAAGGAATAAGCATATTCCATGTTGTTCCACAGCATAGACATCTTATTGAACTCCGATTTTGCTTTTCAGCACACAGGCTATTACTGTTGACTTTGTACCTTTGCCAGATATGACAACCATGAACTCTATGTCCTTAGGCACATTGCTGATAAGACCTTGGAGGGGATCAATAACTAATGCTTTGGGTAAATCCCAAAATACCTCTATAACTTTTATTTTGTGATTTGACAGCTCTTATGTTTAATGTGTTCTCTAAGCCTCATATTAGTCTTTGAAATTATATGCTATTCTGTATGCTTTTCAGTTTGGATTCAGAGAGTGGATATGATTAATTTTTGAGATTTTCTTCAACTTTCAATTTCTCTTTCTCTTATATAATATACTGCACCTGTTTGTTCCCTTCATTGGTTTAACTGCCCTTAAAGTACAGTCCACTTCACCATAGTCCTTCCTCAACATTTACCTCTGGGTCAATCACTTTAGTATTGCTCAGTTGGTTACTAAGCTCTTTCACCCAATTGACCTTTCTGCACACTTCTGGCAAATACTCAAGATTAAACTCATTTCATTGTGTTTCTTTTTTCTGCTCTGAGGCTCTGTTTGTACATAAAGGAAGACATGATGCAGTGTAGATAGGTTCTATTACAAAATTCTATAGGGAATTCAAGTTGATTCTATAAATAAACCTACTAAAATAAAACAAACAATAGAAGGTTCACTGGAAATTACACTTGATCCTCCTTACTTGCAGATTCTGTACATGTGAATTCATCTACTTGCTAAGATTTGTTTGAAAATCCAAAGTCAATACTTAAGGCACTTTCACGATCATACCTGAACACAGCGAGAGTGGCAAAATATTTGAGTCACCCAATGAGCATGTTCCCACCTCAGGTAGAAAGAGGTGATGCTGCCTTCTTGTTTACCTTTAACACCATAATATTATATCCTTTTGTGGACTATTTAATGCCACATTTCCCACATTTTTGTTGGTTATTCTGCTATTTAAAATAGTCCCTAAGTGTATAGTCTAAAATGAAGAGCAAGAAGGCTGTGATGTGCTATTGAGAAAATGTATATGTTAGATAAACCTTACTCAGGCACGAGTTATAGTGCTGTTGGTTGTGGGTTCAATGTTAATTAATCAATCATATATGTTAAATAAGGTGACTTGAAACAGAAACACACATAAGATGTGGTTATGTGTTGATCAATTGACAAGAACCTAACCAAAGGGGTCATGGAAATTTAACCTATATTTCCCTTAGGAGTGATGGTGATCCATTATTTACTAATTTAGTGTATGCAGCAATTTCAGAGAACATAACTACCATGAATAATGAGACTCAATTGTATTTTATATAACATTTTGATAGACATAATCAAACATTGATCTACAATCTATAATCATTGTTTAGATATTATTATAGTTCTTCTCTTGTCTTAATCCCCTCATCCTACTTGCCTCTAACTTTACTAAAACTATTGAAAACATCTTGTGTTTTCACATTTGTGATCATCATTTATGACCTTCATTCACATACCTCAGCTTCTATTAACAGTAACTTTGGTATTAAAAGTTTCATAGGAACAGCTGTATGCTTCTTAAGTCTTTTATTTTTAAATTTAAAATGTATGCAAAAGTAGAGAGAACAGTATAATGAACCCCCATGCACTCATCACTCAGCTTCAACAATTTTCAATGCATTATTTTATCCCTGTATATTCTAACATGATATCCTCAATCCTCCCCTCCACCACAAAAGTCCAAGTCTATTTTGAAGTAAATGCCAGAAGTTAAATAATTTCATCTGAAAATATATCCCTTATTCTACAATGCCATTTTGATAATGGTATAAAGGTGAATGTTCTTCACAAATTTGAGGAATTAAAGATGAGAAAAAGTTTATCCTTGTGATTATATTATCCTACTTTTCTATCTTTGGAGGGACCTAGCATCCATTTTATCTCTTTTATGTCTAACATTCACAGTTTTGCTACTTGACCTGCTCCCTATATTTTAATATCTCGAAAATCATCAATAACCACATGCAAAAATCTTTGCTTGGGTCTCCTACTCTTTCTCACTTCAGTGGCATTTGGCTGTTAGAATATGATCCTTCACTGGGTTCTACGATCCTGAAATATGCTCACCCTCTCTCTCCGTCCCCTGCTGCAGCACTTCATTCTAAATCCATTCGCCCAGAATTAACCTCTTGCCCAAATCTAGTCTCATATTTCCACTACTCCCAAACTATTTTTATTTATATGTTTTAAGTTGTTAATATAAGTCTAACATTTGTATTTATGCCATCACAAACTCAGCAGGCATCATGCGATGTTAACCAGATTCTCCATTTTCAAGTTCCTCATTCATATTACCTGGTTTGATCATTCTTCGTGTCTTTTACTCTTCTATCTCCTTCACACGGAGTCAATAAAGTTCTAGAATATTTTCCCTCTTTATCATATCTTCCATATTTATCCCTTTTGTCTGCATTCCTTTTGTTAACACCTCAATTTATTCCATTATTTACTTCATATCTTGATCACTGAAGTTGCTTCATAGTTTGGCTTCTGATTTTAAAAGTTTCTGTTATATGCATTCCTAAATAAACTTTCTGTTCCATTTCTCACTAAATCATTCACTAAAAATAATAGGATTTATGGCAAAAAATAGTGTTAGAGATAGACAACAGACCCTCAAAGGCTATGCAACCAGAGAATTAATGACAAGTAATTGTATCTTGAAAAGTACAATTGTAATGTTGTTGGATACATTGCTATGTTTTAGGGTTTTTTTTATTACTTTATTTTAAGACATCTTCATGTTTTCTCTGGCATCTATTATTTCTTCATGCTAAACTGCTCTGTCTTCATAAAGGCTTAGGTTTCAATGATCAAAATGATTATTTTTTAAATAACATCATACGGTACATCTTATCTCTGTATGTAGATTGTAGGCCTCTTGAGGGCAAGGCCTGTATGTTTCCACTCTTTTTATATGTCCTACCTACCACATATGACATCAGTAAACACTTGTTGGTAATTGACTTAAAAATCACAAACACGCTGTTTAAAATTCAGTTATTATAAGTATTAATTAATATTTTTACAAAAGAAAGTTCACAAGGAAGTTTATATAATGTAGAGGGGAAAAACATGGGCTTCTGAGTTTCAAATTCAAATTCTGCCACACTAACACGTGACATCAGGCAAAGTAATTGCTATGTGTTTCAGTTTCCTTATTGCTAAAATGAACACAATGAAATCCAACCCCATACTTTGTTGCAAGAATCATAGGAGTTAATGAAATAGTATGTTAATTAATTAAGAGCTTCATAGGATGCTGAACACTTGGTAATGGGTGGTCACTAAGTAGAGATCCCAGGAATCTGAGGAATGATTAGCCAGTATCTTGTTTTTAGAATATGTATAAAGAAACAACCCTCTGGAGTTCACGATATTAACAGTTGGAAATTATGGTTTTGTATATGTATTTGCTAAGTTCTGCTCTGTGCCAGGCTCTGTGCTAAGCACTTCACACACTCTTATATAATCTTCAAAACAATCATAAGAGGTAGGTATTATTAGTAGCATTTCAAATAAGTAAATTAAAGGTCTTAGCCAGCTTGGAAGGGTCAGACTTGAGATTTAAGCCCAGGTATTTGACTATACTGTCTGTGCTCATTATCAATAATAAACGAATCACCCTTATTTTGGGAGCTATGTGACACTGATAAAGAGGCAACCAGTATGGGGAATGATTTTGTCAGATGTACCAGGTAGGTTAAGAATACAATTCTCCAAAGAGATGGAGCCTTTAATCACAATGTACTGAACACTGAGGCTAAGCCAGTTCTCCAGGTGGTGAAGCTCCTTCTTTATGTGAGTTGTGACTTACAGGGAATCATTTCTGCATTTCAACACACTAAAGAATTTTCAAAACCTGTCCTTTCATTGAACTCAAGATACAAGAAAAATAGCAAATTTCTCTGTAATGAATGAATTATTAATGACTAATCTCTTTTTTCTCCTTTAGGGCGACTCTGGAGGACCACTGGTTAGTTCAGATTCTAGAGATATTTGGTATCTGGCTGGAATCGTGAGCTGGGGAGATGAATGTGGGAAACCCTACAAGCCTGGTGTTTATACCAGAGTGACTGCCCTCCGGGACTGGATTGCTTCCCAAACTGGTATCTAAGAGAGAAAAATCTAGTAGAATGGCATGCATTTTTATTTACAGGCTATTTTTAGAGATACAGAAGAGCAGAAGAAGCCTCGCAGGTCACCTCGATCTGACCAAATACAAAACTGTCTGCTTGATGCATAGTTTCCTTCCTAGCTCTGCTCCACAGGTGAGCATCCTGTTTCTTCCAGATGGATTCTGTCTCAACTTGCACTCATTTATTTTCTGGAAGTTTCCTGCCATTTATGCCTTGTTAATGTAAAATTTCTCATGCATATACATACTTTGAAGTGATTCCCCCCTTCATTTCCCCAGTTTCTGTCTTATCAGTACATGTCCATATTCAAGGTGCAGGACAAAGAATAAAAGAAAATACAAAAAGGAAAAACTACATTTTTATGTAGAGAAAAATACTGTGCTTTTTTTTTTTTTTTTTACAGAATAAGGAAAATGATAATATTCATTATGAAAGGTCAAGCAGAGACAGAATACCAAACACTTTATAATGGACAAAGAATGGGAACTAAGCTAAGGAAATACAGAGAGATACAAGGTTTAACTTTTTTCCCCATGTCCAGTCAAACAACTATAGGAATAAAAGTGGGGAAGATTATGTTTTCTTGTGACCTACAGTAATTATACAAACTATATATAAAGCAAATAATATTTATTTACTATTGTACTGCTGAGGATGTTAACATATAATAATAAAAAATAATAAAATCTCTCATTTGCTTGACATTATAATATGGTAATCCACGAAGGAGAAAAACATGGGGAAATGTCACTAGTTAATTAATTGCAAATTATTTTAAAATCTGAGGCCAAAATGAAAATTCATTTAAGAACAACCAGCTTAGCATATGTGGTAAATTTTCGTGTGGTTGAATGAGAGGGAATGCAGAGAGAATCAGTTCAAACTATTGAATGAAATGAGATTATTACCAAGTGTTTGTGCATTTGTATCCGAAGCTTTCCCGAACTGCAAGCCTTGCATGAGAATGGAGTCCAGATGTGAGTACGTACTTAGGGTCATGGAAAGGAAGCTAGGGCTTCCTCCACGTTTATTTTGTAGCTTCATTCCCAACATTCTGAAATAATTGCAGACCTGCTTCCCCACTGCTGTGTTCCCAGGCTTGCCCCGGGGGCTCAGATGTGAGGAGATCATAGGGAAGCTGACTCCCGCATCTAGAATGGCACTGAATTGCTAACTGCTTGGACACAAAATGGAAGAATAAAATCCGAATTATCAGCCACCTTTACAATTTCAGTTTTGGTAAATTTCTGCTGAGTTGTTAGAAATACAACATTCAAGTGGTCTCGGCTATTATGAAGTTAGGGCTGGTGTAATGATGCATGCCATGTTAATGGTGAGATTTCTGGAATCTTCCGCTAATACTCTGCTTACACAAGTTGTGTATTGTACCACAATCACTTTGAAAACTAACATGAGTAGGAACATTTGACTGTAACTGACCCAATATAACATTGGCGTGTGAGCTGATAAAATTTGGCACTGGGCTAAAATAGGATATGAAAACAGACATGAATTGATAGTGTTAAATAGTTTGCAGAATATTTTTGTTCCATTTAATAAAATATTTTGAGAAAAAAACAAAATGGGGGGAAATGATGGACTTTAAACAAAGATTTAAGTGCATTTGTTAAAACTGAATTTATTGGTGTGACATTTGTTCGCAAAACCATACAGGTTTCAAGTGTACAACTCAATAAAACATGCTCTGCGCCCATTGCTCCAAGCAAAGTCTCTTCCCATCACCATTCTCCTCACCTTTGCCCACCTCCACCTACTTCTCAACTACCTTTCCCTCTGGCTATTACCACACTGTTGCCTGTGTCTATGTGTTATGCATATATGTGTTTTTTGTTTTGTTTGTTTTTTGTTTTTGTTTTTTTGCTAATTCCTTCACTTTACTCAGTGTTCCATTGAAAAATCCATTTCCCTTCTTTCAGTGTATTCTTCAGTCTGTCCTGTAGGTGGCACCCGCCAGCTGCAGAAAGATACGATGTCTGTGTCTTCAAGTAACAGTAAAAACCGAAGTAGAAATTTTATATTAGGGTCTTGTGAAACCAAAAGAATACAATTCATGAAAAAGAATTTAAAAATAAATCCATTTAAACTGACATCCTGATTAGTATTTTATAGATTTCTGGAGCTGAGTTTCCAAACAAAAATAAAATTAACATGTGACATAAAGAATTTCCTCTGCAAACTTAACTTGAAGAGATTTAAATTGACCAATTTTAGAAGTTTAATTTTACTATGACATCATATTTCTCAGAGAAATATTTTTGATATTTTAAAAATATATGAGAAATAGAGGTTGAGTCACTGTGAAAATATGAGCAATAGTTCAAACTTCATGTGCACAGAAAAACAGGTAATATAGTGTCATATTTTTTAAAGTGACGACTTCCTTTAAAGACAACATAGAAAGGGTTTAAGCATTATTGGAAATGTCTGTTTTAACCAATTCACTGGAGAAAGTTAAGTCATGACCAAAATAATATTTATTAATTGTACAAAAGGGTAGGTGACTCCTCTTCTGTATCTTTTCTCTCTAGTAAAGTGCTCTGTGTCTAACAGTCTTTCAACAGATGTTGCTGAACAGCTCTTTTATTTTTGTATTATTCAGAAAACATAGCTTTGTTATTTTTTACACATTGATTTTAAGGAGTAATGTCAGATTTTATATTAACTGTGTCACTTAATCCAGTTATTTAAACACTCGATAATATTTACATCAGATGTAAATATTCATGGAACACAAGAAATGGTGCTCAAGAAATGGTGCTATTGTAACTGTTGTAATAAAACTGGCTTGTTTTGAATAATTGATTCTTGATCATGACAGGTTGAATAAATATTTTTGAAATGAAGAAATAGACTAAGAGAATGAGCTGTTTTCTTGTTTCATTCTGATTCTATGAAATAAATTGTTTACGGATAATTCCACAATATATTGTCCAGTTTTTCTCTGACTGCTTTTCTAATTTTTCATTTCAACTTCTAAAAACAATAAGCCTTATTAACCAAAGAGTGGCTGGATTACAGCAAGATCCTAGTCTAGTTCAAATGATGCTTCCTCCATGAAGCCTTCCCTGACTCCCTCAAGTACACATAACATCCTCTTTTCTGAAATTCCTAACCAAAAACTTTTTAAAAATTATTTTCAAATAATCATAGATTCATGTATCATTGTAAAATGTAATACAGAGAGATCCTTTGTATCCTTTATCCAATTTCCCCCAATGGTAACATCTGGCTGAGCAATAGTAAAATAGCAAAACCAGGAAGTTGATATTGAGACAATTCATCAAACTTATTCAGATTTTATTAGTTTTAAAAACATTCAATTATGTCTTGTATGTATGCATTTAGTTTCATATAATTTTATCAGATATGTGAATTTGTGTGACCACCACCACAGTCAAGGTACATAATAGTTTGATTGTAACAATTCCTCATGCTCCTCACAGCCACCCAGCTTCTTCCTTACCTCCATCCCTAGTCTCTAACCCCTGGTGACCACTAATCTGTTCTATGTCTTTATAATTTTGTTAATTCCAGAATGTCATATAAAGGGAATCATACAGTATTTAATCTTTTTTTCCCCTCAATTATTACTAATTTAGTTTTGTTACAGAAGTTTCTCCTTTTTCTCTCCAAGACACCCTCCTCCATATCCTGCCTCCCTATAGTATTTAATCTTTATAGGGTGGCTTTTTCACTCAGCATAATTCCCTTGTGATCAATTCAAGTTGTGTGTGTCAACAGTTTATTATTTTTTATTGCTGTGTACTAGTCCATGGTATGGACATACCACGATTTGTTTATACATTCACCCATTGAAGGGCATTCAAGTTGTTCACAGTTTTTGGCTATTATGAAAAAAACTACTATAACATCTGTGCGTAGGGTTTTTGTATGTGAATTTAAGTGTTCATATCTCTGAATTAATGGGCTTGAGTACATGGCTGTTATGGTAGTACACATTTGGTTTGTTTTTTAAAAAACCTGCCATATTCTTTTCAAATGATGTTTCACCATTTTTTAACCTCTCTGTACCTATACTCTCTACTTATGTTTTTTGAACATGTGTGAATACATCTGATTTAAACACTGACCTGTAAGTTCTGCAGGGGTGGGGACCATGGCTGATTCATTTTTATAACTTTCACAGCTCATAGAAAAGTATATTGCTTATGGTCCATAAAGATTTATTAAATAGAGTGAGATGTGAATAACAACGAGCACATATAGCAAGACATATAAAATGAAAAAAAAAAAGAAATTCTTTGGGTAGAAAATAACAGTATTGCCTTTGTGAGTGTTTTATGCCCTCAATTTCCATAATTCTGGACTTTACCATAGAACCTTTAAGTATCTAACATTGGTTGATATAAAATATTTCCCATATGGTACATAATCAGGCACACATTTAAGACATGGCTTATATCATGATCCAATTCTCATGCTTGAATGTATTTCCTGGTATATTTATATTTAATGGTTTTCTGATACTTTATATATAAATATATTTAACAGTTTTCTGATACATCTTTATCAGCTTCTATGCTGTACTTGTGGAATGAATTCCAGAATAAGAATATACTTTATAAAAAATTGGCTAGTCTTCCCCTGGCCAGTGTGGCTCCGTTGGTTGAGCATCATCACATGCAGTGAAAGGCTGCCGGTTTGATTCCCAATAAGGGCACCTGCCCAGATTGTAGGCATGAACTCCGGCAGGGGCGTGTAGGAGGCAGCCGATCGATATTCTGCTCACATCAATGTTCCACTCATATCGATGTTCCTCTCTCCCTCTCTCTCTAAAAAGCAATAAAATATCTTTTTTAAAAAGTTTTCTTTTGGTCTTAATTTGTATAACCATGATTCTATTATTTATTTGTTCTAACATAATTTTTATTGTATAATTCTCAAGATGGAGTGAAAGATTGAGGCCTATGAAATGCAATTAGATCTCCCTTAGTTGACACTGATCCATT